CTGCTCTGCCTGAAACGAGCCATCGCTCCTCAGTGTCAAGTGGGAACCACAAACTTCTCCACAAAGTCTAAAAATACATAAAACCCATTTTCTCTCTGAATGACATTAAATTTGGCCTAAATGGGGACTTAAGCAAAATTCACTTCCATTTGGCTATCAACTACTTCTAAAAAAAAAAAAAAAAAAAAAAAAAAAAAACAGCCCAAGTGCTTAAAATAAATCACACAGACATTTTTGGCAACAATTTTATGTTTTTTTTTGTGTCTGGAAAGAAGCCATTTCAAAAACCTCCCAGTGGAACTCCAGCACATTTATAAATGGGCTTGTTTTCTCTCCCCTCATTCTGGCATTCAGCAAATACAAACAATCTGAAATTGTCTAAAACAGGGAAACTTTAATCTGATTTAAAGATAGACAGTCAGAAAAACAGGATTGTTTCTTTCTATATATGTGTTAACATTTGGTTGCAACTCTTAAAATATTGTCACCTTCCTAAAATAAAGGCCCAATAATGTCAAAAGAGATTTGCCCAAATTATATATCTATATATATATATTTTTTTTTAGATTTGGCAAAAATGACTGGGGTCGTTACTTTAGAAAGGTGGCCATATGCAACTTGAGATTGTAAAACGAACAAAAACCAGTCAAGCAAAGCATTATGTGACTGTTAGTGTTATTTTGTCTTGTGTGACCTTCAGCTCAGTACCGGCAGGCGAAGCGAGGCTCTCTGGGCGCCCTGACGATGAGTCAGCTGATGAAGAGGCAGCTGGAGCACCAGTCCAGTGCGCCGCACAACATCTGCACCTGGGAGACCGGTGAGGACTTTTCTCTGTAGCAACAAAACGTTTTCAGGAAATGGCCTAAAATGAGATGTAGGACTGAGCAACAGATCAGTTTGATTAATCTATTTTTTATTTGTGAAGATTTAACTTTTGGAAAATCTGGATTTTTTTTTTTTTCATCAATTCACTCCTTGGGATTTAAATGTCAGCTCACCCAAAGTCGCCATCTTGTTTGGCAAACATGCTTAATAACCCCTATTTAATAGACTTTGAATTCAGGTAAACTCTGCAATGGTAGTAGGTTCAGGCTTAGATATAAAAAAAAAAAAATTCCCTTCTCACCCACCGCGGGTGGTTCTTATCCTCTGAGCTCGGGTCCTCTACCAGAGGCCTGGGAGCTTGAGGGTTCTGCGCAGTATCTTGGCTGTGCCAAGGACTGCACATTTCTGGACTGAGATGTCTGTGTTGTTCCTGGGATCTGTTGTAGCCACTGCTCCAGTTTGGGGTTACTGCCCCGAGGGCCCCGATGACCACAGGCACCACTGTGGTCTTCACCTTCCAGGCCCTCTCCAGTTCTTCCCTGAGGCCCTGGTATTTCTCCAGTTTCTCGTGCTCCTTTTTCCTGATGTTGCAATCACTTGGTATTGCTACATCTACCACAACGGCTTTCCTCTGATGTTTATCCACTACGACAATGTCTGGTTGGTTCGCCATTACCATTCTGTCTGTCTGGATCTGGAAGTCCCACAGGATCTTAGCTCTGGCGTTCTCCACCACCTTTGGGGGTGTTTCCCACTTTGATCTCGGGGTTTCCAGTCCATATTCTGCACAGATGTTTCTGTACACTATGCCTGCCACTTGGTTATGTCGTTCCATGTACGCTTTCCCTGCCAGTATCTTGCACCCTGCTGTGATGTGCTGGACTGTCTCAGGGGCCTCCTTGCACAACCTACACCTTGGGTCTTGTCTGGTGTGGTAGATCTGGGCCTCTATTGCTCTGGTGTTTAGGGCCTGTTCCTGGGCGGCCAGGATGAGGGCCTCTGTGCTGTCCTTGAGTCCAGCTTTTTCAGCCATTGGTAGGATTTACTGATATCAGCCACTTGGGTTATTTGATGGTGGTACATCCCATGTAGGGGCTTGTCCTCCCATGATGGTATCTCTGGCACCTCAACCTCCGTTCCCTGTTGTCTGAGACATTCACTGAGCACATTGTCTGTTGAGGCTTTGTCCCTGATGTATTTATGGATCTTAGTTGTTTCATCCTGGACAGTGGTTCTCACCTCACTAGTCCTCTGCCTCCTTCCTTGCGGCTCGTGTACAGTCTAAGGGTGCTGGATTTGGGATGGAACCCTCCATGCATGGTTAGTAGCTTTCTAGTCTTAATATCTGTGGCTTTTATTTCCTCCTTTGGCCAGCTAATTATTCCAGCAGGGTATCTGATTACTGGCAGGGCATAGCTGTTTATTGCACGGATTTTGTTCTTGCCATTGAGCTGGCTTCTCAGGACTTGCCTTATTCGTTGGAGGTATTTAGCTGTGGCTCCTTTCCTTGTGGCCTCATCGAGGTTGCCATTTGCTTGTGGTATACCTAGGTACTTGTAACTGTCCTCTATGTCTGCTATTGTTCCTTGTGGGAGTGAGACTCCTTCTGTGCGGATCACTTTCCACGTCTTTGTGTTCAGCTGACCACACATCTCTAGTCCGAATGACATCCCAATGTCAGTGCTGTAGATCCTGGTGGTGTGGATCATTGAGTCAATGTCTCGCTCACTCTTGGCATAAAGCTTGATGTCATGCATGTAGAGGAGGTGACTGATGTTGGCCCCATTTTTGAGTCGGTATCCGTAGCCAGTATTGTTGATAATTTGGCTGACGGGGTTCAGGCCTATGCAGAACAGTAGCGGGGACAGAGCATCTCCATGGTATATGCCACATTTGATGGACACTTGTGCAAGTGATTTGCAGTTGGCTTCAAGGGTGGTTTTCCACAGCCTCATCGAGTTTGCAACGAAGGCTTTCAGAATCCTGTTGATGTTATACATCTCTAGGCATTCAATGATCCAAGTATGCGGCATTGAGTCAGGCTTTCTTGTAATCAATCCAAGCCATGCACAGGTTGGTGTGTCGGGTTTTGCAGTCTCTGGCAACTGTGCGGTCTACGAGGTGTTGGTGTTTGGCTCCTCTGCTGTTTACACTGATACCTTTCTGTGCCATGCTCATGTGTTTATCCATGTGTTTGCTTATCTTGGCCGCTATGATGCCTGACATGAGCTTCCAGGTTGTGGAGAGGCAGGTTATTGGTCGGTAGTTGGGTGACTGGACCCTTTGATGGATCCTTCTGGATTAGGATTGTTCGCCCTTTAGTTAACCATCAGGGTGAGTCCCACTTTGTAGCAGCTGGTTCATTTGGCCTGCCAGTCGCTCATGGAGAGCAGTGAGTTTCTTTAGCCAGTAGGCATGGATCATGTCAGGCCCTGGTGCTGTCCAGTTTTTCATGCCTGAGACTCTTTCTTGAACATCTGTCACAGTGATGGTTACCGGGGCTTGCTCAGGGAGGTTGCTGTGGTCCTCTCGTAGAGAAATCAACCACTGTGCATTGCTGTTGTGGGACGCCTCCCTTTCCCATATGCCTTTCCAGTATTGTTCAGTCTCCAGCCTTGGTGGGTCTGCTCTGTTGTTATTACCCTGCCATTGAGAGTACACCTTAGCTGGTTGAGTGGAGAAGAGCCGGTTAATCCTTCTGGATTCATTCTCCCTTGTGTATCTCTTTAGGCGGCTGGCCAAGGCTTGGAGCCTCTGTTTGGCAGTTTCAAGTGCTTCAGGTATGGGCATCTGCCTGTACTTTCTGGGTACTGGTCTTTTCATTGTACCCTTGTGGAGCTCTGACAGTTCACTTCCCTCCTTGTTACCTTGATTTTAGCCTCTAACCGTCTTTTCCATGGTGGGTATTGGGTCTCATGGTTGCTCTTATAGCCAAGTATCTCAAGGATCACTGATGCTGAGTTGTAGATCAGCTCATTGGTTTCTGTTATGGTGTTGGTAGGGATTGTTCTCAATGCTGCATTCACATTCTCAATGAGACTTTCTGATGGTACTTCACTCAGCCGTTGTAATTGGCGCCGAGGAGGCCTGGTTGTCATTCGGGTCATGATTCTCTCTCTCAGGTCAGCAGCTGTCTCGTTCAGCTCTGTTTCGCTCATTGGGGCCGTGTATCCCCTCACTGGGTGGGGACTTGTAGTTAAGTCCCCACAGTTCTGACATCCGGTTCCTCTTTTTTGCCGTAGCATTTGTGTTGTATCTCATCAATCTCAAGTTGTGATAGCAGTTTGCCGTTTGCGGATGTTGGAACACTGGCTACTAGTTGTTTTAGCGCTTAGTGTTGACTGGGGATGTCGAAGTAACCATTCCTTCCCCAGTCTTTGCATGTAACCTCTCTCACTAGGGTTACTTGAGTAGTAGCATTCCAACAGATCCACATTTTCATCTCTCGCCCATTTCCGTCTTGTTCCAGTAGCCCATTTGTCATCAAGGTGCTCTGGTTCCCCAACACCTGACCAGACCTTGTTTGGCGACGTCTGAGCCGGCATGTTACGCAACTTAGTATCTCTCATGGTATGAGGTAGGCAGTAGCTTGAAGGTCTTGCCAAAGGACCCAGACTGGATTCGAACCCTGCCCTCGGGTGATATACTGATGCCTTATGTATTGAGCTATCCAGTCAATTGACTAAAGTACGCGAGGATGAGCTGAGTGAATCTGAGTCAGAACCATTATTGTTAAACTTAATGTTGATGTGTTTATTACAGGCGTGTCTATGGGACAGTTATGTATCGGTTCAACACGGGACGCATATTTAACGGCCAAATATGGGACGACTCCCTATTTTACGGGATGGGCGGCGATCCTATTCAGGGTTGCTGAGATACAGTTTTAAGGGCGCTGGAGCGGAAAACCACAAACGCAAAAGTTCAATCACAAGATCTACTGTTAATCTCTTCATGTTAAATAAATAAAAAGTATGACTTATTATTGAAGTATTTAGTCGTTATTTCAGCTTGACTCGTTCAGAACTGATCTGATCGTTTCCATAACAACGATCAGAAGCGAGACCTTGCCTCAGACCTCCAGTGACCTCACTGATGAGGTCATAAGAGACATCATGTACATCACAATAGATCAAAGAATTCTAAAGTTGCAAGTCTTGCGCGCCAACACTGAG